TGCAAAATCATCAAATATATTTTTCACATCTCTTTCAAATTGATTTTGAAAATGTTCCAACTGAGATAAAAATACGAGCAATGCATCATTGGACTCCCCTGGCATTTCTTTATTAGGAATAAATGAAATTTTGAGTTTTTCTTTTAACACTGCTGCATACTGGGCAGTGATCCGAGCGGTGTGAGGGACGCCGCGTCATGGCGGAGAGACACCTTACGGGTCTCATGGGGACATGATTTTGAAATTTTTTTCTCCAAAAGTGGTTTTAAAACATTATACACATTATATGCAACATTTGTCTTTACATTATCTGGAACTTGAATCAAATCGAATGTCCCACAACCCCTCTAAGCGCCGACGATAATTACCTTGTCCGCAAACTTTTCACTTTTTCGGACACAAACTTTTCAATTTCACTGCGGTATTTCGAATAGCAGATTCGGCGTGACCGCTTATAATTTTGAATGAAAAAAAGTGCCCTGTCCAGTGTGACAACAAATTTGGAATTTTTTCCTGTAAGATGATCCCGGTAGAGCTTTCGAGAAGTCGACTTCCGTATTTATTTTTGACGCGGTCGGAGCGCGTGCACTTTGGTCATTTGAAGGGTCTTTTTACTTAAATCTTTATGAAAAATTCGGTTTATTGTGTACTAGGAAATCTCATATTTCTTTGCCAACTGATTTTGCGATGATAGATGTTCTTTTGCCGTTTCACGAGCAATTTCCCTGATGAGCGTCGGTTTTCTTACTTTTCGGGGTATTGGTTATTCGGCTGTGGAAGGCCTAAATTGGTTGCAAGATGCGGTTTTCCTTCAAAATTCTTTATTCCAAACACTGTCCTTTAAGAAATGGTAATTCCTTTGCGTTTTAGTTGCCGTAATATTTTTTAGGGAGCAATCCAGCCGCGCAAAGTGCTTTTACGGCATGGGACACTTTGGGGTCAAATTGTGGAGCCATTTTTAAGATTTCGAACTCACGAAAACCGTCTCATCTTATAATTAGGTTTATCTTTCAGATTCTTTTTTAATTTCGCGAATTAATTAATGGAGTAATTTGTTTAAGGGTAGTTAACTGAGTGCCCATAAACAAAAATAACCCCTGTAAATAAATACCATCACAAAAATCATGAACAAAAACAATCGTCACTCTGAACCTTAAGCCAGAATTATAGACCCGTCCAAGCTCTAAATGATACGAAAGTTTATGTGTTTCATAAAACTAATCGGTGTGGATTGGAGTGCTTCTAGTTAATGGGCCTAGTGCGTTGTGCCACTCCTTAATCTTGGTAGTTAACATATTTCTATGTATGGACTTTATGGTATTTTACAATAAATTAAAGATTCAAAATTTTGCCAAACTTGGAATCGAAATGGTTTTATTCAGCAACTTCACCACGACCGGCTTCGATCATAATCTAGTTGCATGAGTTATATTATCACAGCTGCCTCCAATTGCATAATTCTTACAAATTTCTACAAAAATTATGATAGCCAATACAGAAACTGTTTCATACTTTTGTGGAAATTTTTAACATATATTTTTACCAATAATCAAATCTTATGTTGATGCGAAACTTGTTCTGCGTGATGGCCCTTGCTCTGAACTTACTTTATTGCAGATAAGACCATATTGCCCACAGATATAAAATTAATTTTATTGTTATTTTCGGTATTAAAAGTATTGAGTCGCAGAGTAATTCATGATTACGTATCAATATATATATAAAGCTGACTACGCAGGAGTCGTACAAATTATCTAACCTTACTGTAGAGAAAAAAAGAATCGTAGAATGAAAAAGGGAAATCTTAAAAATAATTGATTTCTTCCAGCTCCTTTCCGGCTGGAAGAGTTCCTAAAATTGAGGTGACATTTCCTCGCTGAGTGGCAAGGGAGATCCGTTGGCGTAGATAAGTGGTGGCGTTGGGCTGACCGGTCGTCGCAGCAACCCTTTTACCAATTTCCTTGATGAGGGACAGCCCCTCCTTTCCCATCACACCCATTGTTTCCATTACTACGGGCAGAAAAGCGTATTTCCTCTAGATATACAATTATACATATGTAACACTGCGTAATGATTATAATACTAACAATGAAAAGTTGTCAGTGGCTACGCTCAGATTTTAATGGGACCAATTTTTTTTTTCGTCGCCAAAAATAAGCGGACCTTTTTTATTTTTTTTGAATCCACCTATTTAAGCGCGTGGCGGGATTTTCAAACATTTTTCCAGCCAAAAACTCGGATTTTTTAATCGCTCAAACTTTTTGAAGTTTGGCGCGAATTCATAAAACCAAAAACATGTATGCTCGGAATTACTTCCTCTAAATTATAGAAATATAATTTTTAACAATTTTGAAAATTCAAATTTTGCCGGGATTTTGAATATTTCAAAAATCAAAAAATGGTTAAAAACAAGAATTTTCAAAATTTTCACCAGTGTCCATATCTTTACTTTATTGTAGCTACATATACTACGTACGTACATAGCTGTATAGAAATTAAATTATTTTGTATTGAAAATTAAGCTGAAGATCAGATAATGTGGTCATCAGCTTAACACTGCGTATTGCTTATTTTAATTGCATAATATATTTTTCGTCGTTATAAGTATTTTATGGATTTTACATAAGAAATAGTTTTTTCCAAAGATCAATAAAACGAGGATATTATCTTTACCAGGTGAAGTTATTTGGCGTTACCTGTGCATGTATTCATTCATATGTATACATATTCATTTTCAACAAGAAATATTGCGCAAATTATGTTACTGCGCTACATTGACGCGAGTAATCCTCCCTTAGCGAAACTCCTGCCAAAACTTTACATAGGTGAAGAACTTTCTAAATCTGTCACTGGTTACTCATCCCAATCGCGATGTACAATTTCTTACCCGTCTTACTACCTCTTGTGCCAGATATTTCATAAAGTTTTTCAAAACTTTTCTAATTTCTACTGAAAAACATACAGCAGCAGCTGAAAAGAGGATAGACAAAAACACATATAGGGTCACAATGTTTCCTGACATCCCTATTTTTTCTACCGTGTCCTTCCGTGGCATTATTTTACCCAGCGTCACAAACGGTCTTCGCTGTTCCTCTTTCCCCAACCTACAAAGAATACCAGTCTCGTGTAAATTTTTTAAATAGTTCGGAATTTTCGAGGAACCCTCTGTTTCAAAAGTCCAACCTTCCATAATATTATCCTGTAAGACGTCCTCTCCCACAGTAAATTTTACACCGTGATACTTTTTCTCAAGAAACTCCTCAGTTGCCCCAATTTCCCCTGATTTTGTGAAATATTCAGACTTCCTGCAACACACTAATTATGGGAACCAGGTTATGGTGTTTGCTTATTAGCTTGGCTGAAACTAAAACGTCGTTACTCGGTTCTAGGGAATGTTTTGGATTTAGTAGTTCAAATTTCTCCAAGGTTTTCCGCGATATTTGATTTGGCGAGAGTGCTAACATTTTATCTAGCTCAATTACCATGTCCACGAAAATCCAGAGGAGGTTATAAGTTAGAAAGTTGTTATTCAAATTCATCGACGAATGGGTAGGTGACAGTAGGCTGAAACAATTCTTAGATTGTCCCCTCATCCTATATGACCTGTCTACCCCTCTTCCATACAACTTAAATATGTTTGCTATCCTATACCGTCTCAAATTCGTATTAAGTCCATACCGTTTCATAAACTCAGTGATATTTCTTGGTGTTTTGACCAACGCGGTGTAATCAATATTATTAGAAGCACACCTCAGGTCTCGAACCGTCTCCGGTCTCCAGCCAGGGAAAGGTGCGTTTAAACCAGTAATCATCAACCCATTGTAACCGTTGCTTAAAACAACCGCCATTAGAATCCAACTGCCAAGGGAACACCGATAAAATAATGTCTTCTCGAAAGAACTTGGGACGGAGTAACCCTAATCAAAAATGGTTGACAGTAAGAAGAAGAACGGGGAGAAGTGAGACTCATTGTATTTTTGATATAATACGAACACAGCAATAAGTACGGACATGGTGGTTAATATGGCACCCCATAATTCAACCTGGAATGGCGTGGTGTAAAATAAGAAGGATAAATACTGCGGGGAATAACACGTTAGAAATTTAGACCCAGTGTTCCCAATGACTAGGACAGCTTTTGAGTAATCATGTAGTTGTATAGGTTTGAAGGAGACGGTTGCCGCAGAATAATCAACACTGTTTCGGATATAGGACGTATTCTCTTTACGCATTAGTACTTGGATTAAGTAGTTCTTAATCGAGAAGGTAAACCTCATTGTCCCTAAGGTTGTGAGGAATGGATTAGTAAATGCATTCAACAAGGTGCACTTTTAGATTTATATTTATGCGTTTTAAAAGCGTTAAAGTTCAATTTTACCAAAATATCAATACTAATATGAAGCCATACATAGGTATCATGGCTTATCTAATTTATCTTGTTTACTTTTCATCTACGAATTCAGTATTGAGTATTAGGTATTGAGAATTCAGTTTCTATGTAATATGTCATTTAATACGAAGATGTGGCCAATGATCTGGCCTATGATGAGTGCTTGCCACGCCAGAGCCCCGGCCCGACTCTGGCTTCAGTCGCTGCTCAGTTATGCATTGTGGGATTGGCTGAGAATAATACATATAAGGGATGCATTACAGAATGACAGAATTGGGTAAATATATAAGTTAATTATGCTCATTCTGTAACATACCCATGTGGTCCAATTTTCTTGACACGATAATTTACGACGTGTACTATACATTAGTTTGCTAGAAATGGAAGACTCGTCGAATATACAAAGCGATAATACAGATGACGACATCACCCACCCACATCCTCAGGATACAAATCAGCAATCCGGTCAGAGGAGTTGGATATGGAAACATTTCGTGGAAAAATATTCAGTCGACAAAGCAAAAGTTCCACTTAAGGCCATTACGTGTCGGTATTGTTCAACCAAGTAAGCCTACATAAATGAAATTATAATGCTACCATGGTTATATAATTCGGTATAATTATGTTGTTTTTATTCGATTTTCATTTCTGTAAGTATTGACAGCACCAAAACTAACCGCCGCTTAAAAATAGCACAAATAATACTGAGCAGATTGGTATTGATATGGCACAATCCAGGCAACGTTAGGGTTGGTATAGGTGACCAATCCAATCCGCGTATCCATGCCGTAGGCCATCTCGAAGTCAGAATTGGGTTTAGAGAAGTCCTCCCTCCACCAGAATTCCTCAATCCCCATCCCACCAACATACTCCCCATCAGTCCAAGCGGTAACTTTGAAGTACAAATGAAACACTGTAATTTCAATTAATTGGGAAAATTCCACATTAAATTTAACCAACCCTCTTCCGGACGCAGTTGCTTAGCAATGAAATTCAGCTCATCCTGTCCTCCTAATTTTGCCAAATTCATTCCCATTGCTTTACAACTTTCTCGTGCTTCAACTTGCGTTCGCTGTTTTAAAATATTCAGATATTTATTTGGGGTTAGCAAATTTTTTAAATTATTTTCTTTCTACTTACTTTAATTCGCTCAATAAAAAAATTTTTGTTGTTAATGGTTCCAATAAAGTTAAGAAGGGGATGGATTTCAAGCACGGCTTTGGGCAGAGGACCATCGTCTGTAAACAGATTGTTGTCCTACAATTATTACATAGCTCAATAATAATTGATACTACTTTACCATTTTTTTTCCCCAATACGATTGCACCGACATTTGTGTCAGAGAAAAATCCTCCAATTAGTAAAATGGTTAAAATGTTGGCAAACATTTTAAAGCAGATGTATCTGCACAAATGTGACGGTGGTGTAGTGGTTGGCTGTTAGTTTGTACGTTTATGGAAATGTGTGTGACTATAGCAACGTTCTAAACACCAGGATTCACTATTCCTATCATTCTGCGGACTGCGGATGGTTTTATACCGAAATTAACAATTCCAGTTTGACAGGTGGATAATCCAGTGATGGAGTAGTTTATTACGCAGACAGATCACGAGGAGGGTTGGCTGCAGCAATTCCACAACGTAAACTGAGTCAAGATATTTTAATAATAATTCAAATAATCCGAAAATAATTCATCATCATTTATCATGAAAGCTAATCTCCAGCCATACAATTCTAACCTGACAATTATATGTCTGTAATTAATAATTCTAACCTAATTAACGTATCTAAATTAATCTTAAAAAATTCCATACCTACAGTATTACGCAAACTGGTCACGAGAAGGGCTGGCTGCAGCAATTCCATAACGGGATGTATCTAATTATGGGATTAAAGCACGTCAAGTCCGAAGAAGGATACTTTTTTAAATCATAGTGTACATTCATCAAGATTTAGGATTAAGATAATAAATACCAGAGGTGGAAACTCATAACTGCGATTGATAATTATTACCTTATATATTTACCCAGTTCTGTCTGTCCTTCTGTAACGCTCTATCCGTTCTATGTATTATTCTCACCCTATCTTACAATGCGTTACTGAGCAGCCAGATCAGCACTCAGATAAGTATTGAGTATTCAAAATCCAGTTGTATAGATAATTCAGTATTCAGAATTCAGTATTTCAGTATTCAGAATTCAGAATTCAGAATTCAGTATTCAGTATTCAGAATTCAGTATTCAGAATTTGAATATTAAATACTGAAAACTGAAATTCGGTGTTCAGTATTTCAGTATTGAATACTGAAAATTTTCTGATATGTATTTTGATGCTTTAATGTTTTCATATTTTGATGTTGTAAAATTTAAAATATCGACATAACCTAACCCAAAAATTCACGGCCAATGTTTGCAACAGTCACTTTAAAGTAAAGGGTATGTCGCTCCCTGGACCTGGGCTTACCACCATGACCAAAATATTGTTGCATCTTATGTAACGGGAAGGGCATGCCGTACCTTTAACATTCTAATTGGAGCCAGGTTTCTAGGAAGAAATAGAACGGAATTGATTTCCCTACAGTTGGTGCCACTACGTGATATGAAATGAAGAATGAGCAAAAAATGCATTGAAGGGATGTATTACGGACGGACAGAATCGTGCAAGATAATTCACGTGGTGCCACGGGCACCACAAAACCGCCTAGTTATACTATATTAATACAGTACCATATAAATGAAAACACTCGCTACAAAAGGTGTTTACAGATTTTGCGGAAAATGGAATTATACGAGTAACTTCATAACACGCGGTCTAATCTGCGCCAAATTTGAAACACACCTGCACGAAGGTATCATTAATAAACTAAAATTTATTCACATAGAATTACTGAATTTTACTAAATCATTTAAATTATATAAAATTAAATCAAATCAATATAAATTTAAATCATTTACCCTTATTAGTTACTAATTTACTACTTACTTATTTAATAGCAATAATAGGTAAAATTTCTGCTCTAGGTAAAATATGCTCATAAACAAATGTGTATTGTCGATTTTACATTAACTTAATCATGCATGCATATTATGTCCCAACATATTTTGGATTGATTTTAATTTTGTAAGGTACTAAAAATACTATTGTTTTATTGATTTATTTTTCCTAAAATGTGCTAGCTCGTAACTCATATAAACCTAATTTGTTAACCTCGTGTCAAATCTCATCATACATTTTTGACTTAACTTGCAATTTTAGTCGGGTACCTCAAGCTAATTTAGATTGTGGTTCAGCCAGAATCATAAAATAACATGTTATGATTACCATAAACTTTCCAACAATCAAAGGAGGAGAGCTTCCGAAGTTGCCAACAACAGATCTTGCCGTTGGCATATGTTGAAGCCATAGGCGAGTGTAGCATAACCCTAAAACGGTTTGATGCCATAGGCCCGTTTGCGGCAGCCACACCCGCTCAAAAATGTGAAAAATTATCGACGAGACATTCCTGATTGGTAAGGTCTGATCCCCCCTCCGCAATTGCCCCACCACTAAAATCAAATAAATAACTTGGTTTGAAACATAGTTAACTAAATATTGATTTAATTAGTTGTATTTACATACATATCGACAGAATGATTGTTCTTCAGCCTTTTTGCTGCCGCTTTCAAATGTTCCTTAATTACGGCTTCCATCTCGTCATCTGTTACTGTCTTCGATTGCAAACTTTGTCGAAGAGCATCTAAAATATCCCAAAAACAGTTAACGTGATCTTTCACGGCTAAAATAAGGATTTTTTTCCGATAGAGTTCACACAAATTAAATTTAAATTAGTGCAAGAAAAAACCTTTACAAAAACTACTTGTTTCATCCACGCATCACGAAGAAAGGCTAAGGTTAGGGTCGATGACCACACCCACAGGGGGTGTGGTTTTTAAACTTCTAATTATCTCATTGCAATCCCCTTGGCAAGCTGAGAAAAATCACATGTCACATGACATGGGTTGGCAAGATTGGGCGGGGGTCGATGACCGTGGTCGATCCATTTGGTTAGGTTAGGTTAACCTAACCTAACCAAACGTAGAGCCAAGGTGTCACTAAGTAGTGCGCATTGAGCAATTAAAATTTTAAAGAAGCGTAAACGAAGAAAAATTCGAGTTCATCAGCTAACGGAGAAACATGAAAAAAATCGTCGACGAACCTGCAAAAACTTTTATGCAAATCATCTGACAAACAATAAAAGTGAATTCTTAGTGTCATTAGACGAAGCACTATTTTGTCTACAAGACACTAAAGGTCAACGAAGAGTTTACTATACTACAAATGCCGAAAATAATTCCCGAAGGTTGGCCATCCCGCATGCTGAGAACTTTTGTAAGAAGTTCATGGTTGTTGGTGCATTATCTGGTCGTGGGGTCCTCCCACTTATAAAAGTTCCTCAAAAAGTGAAGGTCACAGCCAAGTACTATATTGACTTCGTATTAAAACCACTTTTGGAGATCCATGTCCCAAAACTCTACGGCAAGGACACAACGAAAGTGATAGTTCATCATGACGCGGCGTCATCACATACTGCTCGTTTGACTCAAGAATACGCCAAGGATTTGAAAGCAAGACTCGGGATTACAATTATTCAGAATAGGGAAATACCTATTAAATCCCCTGATGTAAGTCCTATGGATTTTTTCGGCTTCGGATATCTTAAAAGAAAAATATTTCTCCGCCGCCCTAAAACTTTTTTGGGAGTTTGGAAAGTCTTGCGAGACGAGTGGGGTAAAGTTGATGTCGCCATGGTCAAATCCGTGTACAGAAGTTGGAATCGTCGCTGTCGTCTTGTAGTTCGAGAAAAGGGCTCTCACATAGAACATGTCCGGGACCTGCACTCCAAACCGTTCAGAAGTTTTTAAAGGTTCGAAATCGTTCATTTCTTAATGAAACATTCTCAGTACAATGTAAGTCGCGTCATTTTTTGCCTAAGCTATTTCTGGAGATTCGGCTCAGTTTTAAAGATATGCACCTGCGAAGGGAAAACAAATTGGTAGTCAAAAATTGGGATTTTTGGCCCAGAAAAGTGGTCGCCGGTAACTTTTTACAACTTTACCTTATTTATTTTTTGTTGACCCATTGTGACCGTGAAAATAAAATAATAAAAAGCTGTGGCCATTTATCACCCTCTGATTTCCCTAGTCCTTCATAAATGCAATAATTGCGTATATAGTGTTTACATGCGAAAAAATATTTACTCCTATCATCATCAAAATAAAGAGCTATTTATAATTTAGTCATTGCGAGGGTTGGATAACCTTCTACACACACACATACTTATCGATTTGTAACTCATACATATCATATCAAGTTGATATTTTCACCTATTCTGTTCTGTTCAATCCTTGTACCCATACACATATTGTAAGAAAATATTTCCTTGGACGGGATCCTCCCACTCTTCTCGCTTTGATAACCACGTGACGCCAACTCCCTCTGGACAACTTTGTCAACCTAACCTCTCACTTTTTTAATATTCTTCAAAAATCATAAATAAAAATTTCTTAATAAGTCTTTTGGCGTACAACGTTTACAATTTACCTACTCTATTTCTGACAAAGGCCTACGCCGAAAATTAAAAAAAAAGATAAATAATAAGCAATATTTAATTTTAAGAATTTTTCGATATGGAGGTGGGGAAAAATTATTAAAGCTCAAAGCAGTCAAATTTTGAATTTAACTCGTCCCACGGAAAGATTTTCTTTACAATAGACAGACAGACTGACAGACGGACGTACAAGGGTAATTCAATAGTTCCTCCCGCTACCCAGGGCGAGCTACTAATGAATCCAGCGAGTTAATAATGAATGGAAATGATTCAAGCAATACATACAAAATAAACCCCTCCCCCCGTAATTAATCCCATTTGAATCATAAATTTCCCCCTATACCTCCATGCACGACACGAACATGCCTCTTAAAACACCAAAGGCTCAAATATTCTTGATTACAATGTTGGCAATGATACATCCTTCGTTTTGAACGGTCCAAGTGTTTCACCTTAAAAAAGAGGGATCATCCATATACATCAAAACGTGTTCATTTACCTCACCCCTTATTTATCTAATTATGTATCACCTTATGCCGACACAGATTTGCCCCGGTGGCAAAACTCACTTCACATTCTGCACACTTGAATGGCTTCTCAGTCGTATGAATTTGCATATGAGGAACCAATCTGGCCGCGAATGGGAATAATTTAGGGCAGAAGTAACACTTAATCCTTTTCTCGCCATGAACCACCTTCACGTGTTCCTTGAGCAGTCTGCTCGTCCCAAACCGCTTGCCACGACAGGATGGAATTTCACACTGATATTTTAGCTCGATCCGGGAATGGAACAAATTAACGTGCTGCGTCATCATATACTTCTCAACGTAAGATTTAGGGCAGAACGTGCATTTAAATCGGACTCGATCCTCCTTATTTAAGTGAGTT